AGAGGACAGGGCGGCTTGGGACAGGGGGGTGTGTGCGCGGGGGGCGGGAGGTGCGCGAGCGGCGGGATGTGTGCGGGGTGTGCGCGCAGTGGGGCGGGCGGGAACGGAGCGCGGGGGTGTGTGCGGTGCCTTGGGGCGGGGGGATGAGCTTGGGGTGGGTGCGCGGTACACGAGCCATGGGATGTGGGGTGTGCGCGCTGTGGGGCGGGGGGGGCGGGGGAGATGCGGGGGGCGGGGGGGCTGAAAGTGCGGGGCGCGGGGTTCCTTGCGGCGGGGCAAGGGATATGAACTTGGGATGGATGTGAGCTACACGAGCAATGGGATGTGGGGTGTGCGTGCAGTGGGGCGGGGGGGCGGATGGGAATGGAGCACAAGGGTGCAGCCATGGGCGGATGGCATCCCGGGATGTGGCGTGCGCGTTCAGTGGGACACAGTGAGTGGGGCGAGCACGCAGCGGGGTTTGGGGCACGTCTGCAACAGGGGACAGAGGTGCACCCATCCGGGTGTGGGGCGTGTATGCCATGGGGCAGGGGGTGCACGTGCCGTGGGGCGCGAGGTGGGTGTGATGGACGCGGAGATGTGTGTGCGGGAGGGGGGGTGTTTGCATAACGGGGTATGGAGATGCTTGTGCAGAGGGTTCAGGCTGCCTATGGAATGGGGTGTGTGGGTGTGCGTGCCGTGGGACAGCACGGCGGTAAGCATACCCCGTGGGGCACGGGGCACCCGTGCAGTGGGGCACAGAGTCAGATGTGCAGTGGGGCACAGAGGTGTGCGTGCCAAGAGAACGCGTGCAGTGCCCGGGCGGTGGAAAACCCTGGGAGGGAGGCGTGTGCGTGGGCAGTGAGCGGGCCCAGGGGGCTGCAGATGTAGGGTAGAGGGCTGTGTGCGTCCAGGGGGCAGCGGGGATGGACGGCCTATAGAGATGGGCGAGTGCGCCCAGTCGAGCATCGGACTGTGCGGGGAGGGATATCGGCGGGAGTATGTGAGGTGAGGAGCAGTTTATGGGGCAAGGGGAGCTGGCTCGGCAACCGGGGTGCGGAGGAGTTTGGGTTAGGGTGCATCCCCTGGGGAGGGGGGGCAGCTGGCCGGGGGCTGCCGGTACCGGGGGAGGCGGCGGGGCGGCTGCGGGAGCTGTGCGCGGTGCTGACCGCCGGCCGCGGAGCTGTCCCCGGTGCTGACCGCCAGACGCGACCTGGGGCTGCGGTTCCGGGGAGGGGGTTCCGGGGAGGGGGTCCCGCGACGGGGGTCCCGCGGCTCCGGCCGCTGGCCTGATGCGGAGGGCCTTTTGCTTTTTTCCTTCACCTCACTCCGCTTCCATAGATAGAAATCCCTCTCCATCCTACAGCAACCCTCCCGTTCTCTGGCCGCACCGCCACAGCACTTCAGACTGACCCTCTGCCTGCAGCCCCCTTCCCCCGGCTTGTCCTGGCCGAGTGAGCATGGGGGGACCGCGCTGGGACTGGGCAGCTCCGAGTGCTTCCCCCCATTCCCCCTCCTGGAGTTGTGTTCAACACCTTCTCTGGGGTCCCCTGCCAGGTCACTGTCCCCACGTGGGGCTGTGGAGTGACTTGGTGGTTCCCGGTGGGGAAATTGGGATCAGGTGCTCTTGCACTCAGGAGACAGGTGTTCCATGCCTGGCTTGTGTCGGCTGGGAGTGAAGGGGAGGGGGAGCTGCCTTTGTTCCAGGCAAGGGAGCAGATGCATGTCAGTGTACAGCCAGCTGGGGCTGCACACACGCAGCACAAACACACGTGCACATGAGCACATGCGCACACTCCCGGCCAGGAACACGCGGTACAAAGCAGACCCTCGTCTCAGCTCTTCCACTCTCACTGGACGAGTCCTCCTGGGCACAGCCTTGCTCCCAGCCCATCCTCTGCTTATCTCCCCCTTTCTAGCAGCTTGTGAGGAGGTGCATCTCATTCTTGCTGCATCTCTGGGGAATAATAGATGGGTCTCCCAGGCTGGCAGCGGGTATAGTGGGATAATGGTAGGGTGAAATTACAGCTGCTGTCTAGAGACCTGCTCTCCCCTTTCTCTACTGTGCCGAGGAAGTAGTTGCTGGGGCTCCTGGAAATCTCTGGAAATCAAACAGCCAGGCAGTTGGGCAGGTGGAGGTGGCCCCAGTGTGTGCCGTGGGCTTGCAGGAAGTGTCTGTCAGACACGGGGCTGTGCACAGCCATGCACACCGATGGATGTGGGTGTGCACACCTCCACTTAACTGTGCATGCAGACACCACCCACGTGTGCATATGTGCACACATATGTGCACCATTCCTCCCCCACAAACTGGGAGGCTGTGCAGGAGATGCTCTGCTCACTCCTTCTCGCAGGTCTAATATGGGACTCTGCACTTTATGATGGGCTCTGCGCTGAGCCACCCCAGCAGGTAGAGAAGGTGGAATCTGTGTTTCTGTGGGAGATGACCTGTTAGGACATGAAGAATATTCCTTTATTACAGGTAAAATGCAGGGAGCAGAGCATGAGCAGCAGGGGCCAAGGGCTCCTCAGGCTCCAGAGGATCAATGCGCACAGCTCAGTAAACTGGGCTCTAGGCAGTGCTGAACCAGGAATGATGCAGACTGTGCCAGGGCTGGGAGACACAGCCGGCCACAGCTGACAGCATCCCTGGGGACTCACCAAAGTGGCATAGTCCCAGCCCCTCCTGCCTTCAGGATGCTGGATTTGGGACATATTGAGAGCCTGGATGGGTGGGCCTTGACTGGGAGGGGTGCTGCACAACCCCTTCCCCAACCCTTCACCCTACTTGGATCCCTTGGATCTCCTCTGCAGATGGGCTCTTTGTGACAGACTACTTCACCCGCACGCCACGCAAGCTCAGCCCCTTCCGCTCCTTTGCCAGCATCGAGCTCTTCCACTTCCACATCCCTGAGGACACAGTCATCGCTGTCTGGAACCTCATCACCTTCAAGGAGCAAGGTGGCACCTTTGGGGATCAATGCCCAGATCGTAGCATCACCGTGTGAGTAAGCAGCCTGCTGTGTTTGTTTCCTGCCTGCCTCTGCCTGCCCCTGCTGCACCTGCCTGGACTTGCCCCAGAGCCTACCTGCTCTTGCCCGCTTCTGACTTGCACAAGCACATGTACAGATAGAGTCAAAGAATCACAGGATCATAGAATGGTTTTGGGTTGGAAGAGACAGTAAAGATCATCTTGTTCCAGACTGCTGCCATGGGCAGGGACACCTTCCCCTAGACCAGGTTGCTCAGAGCTCCATCCAGCCTGGCCTTCATGCACACACACATGCAGGTATATATGTGTGCACAGCTACATGCACTCATATATATGCACACACATACACCTGTTGTGGTTTAC